GGTGTCTCACGCCGCGGGCGCTATGGCAGCTGCTGGTCCAGCCCAGGGAACAAACTCACCTCTTCTCCTCTTCCGCTGGTACAGCACACCCCCCACAGCAGCACCAGCACAAACAACTATCAAAACGATAACTCCAGCGCTCAGACCGCTGTCGCCGGATTGTGCTGAGCTTGCTACCCTCCGTCTGCCATGCTGCCCACTACAGGCTCCATGTTTCCTTGTGCTCCCCCATCTGTACCCAGCTCTTGTCTGACCTCAGCGGAGCTGGGGCCATGTTCTTTGGTTCAGTGTTTGCACGGCACACTGGGGTCCCCGCTCTCTGTGGAATACATTTTGATCTGTGCACCAAAGCATGTGCAGATGTGCAGCACCAGTACAAACACCTGCTGCCAGCTGCGGGCGCTCCGCTGATCAGCTGGGCAACATTTGATTCTTTCCTGGCTCACTGCCCAAGTGCTCAGCTTACTGATTATTATCGTTTGGCTACTCCCTGGGTTTACAGTGAAGGGAAAATGAGAATGAGGGCCCTCATTCTCACCAGCTCAATGTCCAATATTGCCAGCCTCAAATGGTCAAAAATCATGGGATTCAAAGTAGGAATAAATTTGATTTTCCTTCTGTTTATTGTGCCCATAAGGATCCAAAACCACATGGACTAGAAACCTTGGTTTCTCCCTCCTCCTGCAAAAGCTGCGAGCCTCATGCTGTCCCCTGACTCCTGGAGCTGGGGCTTGAAGAAAAGCACCAAAGAGCACAGTGAAATTGGGAGAGTTGGTGGCAGTGGGTAGGGCCCCTCCCCCAGACACCTCCCCCAGCTGGTCCTACAAGACGGCAGGAGTGGCTCACCAGTGACGGTGGTTGTTGTGGGTGCTGATGTCATGTGGTACAGTGGCATTGTTGCTATGTATGGGATAAGAGAATGGGGACAAGGGAGTCAATGATCTGGAAAAACTCCATGTTCCCAAAACAGACCCGATGCCAAGGAACTGCATGTGTGCACGCAACCAGTGCTATCCCTTGTGTGCCCACCCTCCGTCCGTCCATCCCTTCTCCGCCCTATGCCCCACTGTGGGGCACCAGCCAGTGGGAGGGAACTGAACGGGCAAGTCGGATAAGAGAATGGGGACAAGGGAGTCAATGATCTGGAAAAACTCCATGTTCCCAAAACAGACCCGATGCCAAGGAACTGCATGTGTGCACGCAACCAGTGCTATCCCTTGTGTGCCCACCCTCCGTCCGTCCATCCCTTCTCCGCCCTATGCCCCACTGTGGGGCACCAGCCAGTGGGAGGGAACTGAACGGGCAAGTCTATTTCCCCTGGATTTTGGCTAGAGGAGAAGCTGGGGTTAGAGTCAGTCTTTTCCCCTAGGGGGGAAGGGCCACTGGGGTCTCGTCTTCCTTTTCCCACCTACCCTGGTCCTACTGGTCCTGGGAGGTGGGCGGGATCTGCAGTGACCAGTTGGGTTAAACAGGGGGAGGGGAGGTTTGCAAGGTACCAACCCCTTCCCCTGGCTTTTTGAGCAACTTTTCATGATGGATCACGTTCCCTGCTTGGACTACATCTCCCAAGATGCACCACAGCCAAGCCAGCTCAATCAGAGGGGAAGCCATGGTGCGTCAAGGGAGATGCAGTCCAGGCAATGAAAATGGTGCGCAGGAGACAATGGGGCCACGGAGCACACAAACTAAAACTCCTTTGAGGTACCACAGCACCGAAGGCAGATGTAGTTTAACACTGAACTTTCTAGAAACAAAATGTTTCATTTCGATTTTCCTAACAGAAAAGTCAATTTTTTGTCAAAATCAAACATTTTCTGCACAAATTTCAATTTTAGCAGCAACTGCATTTTCAGTCAACATTTTGAGGATGGATTCATGAGCAGCTTTACCAAGTATCACTAAAAAATGCCAGTGGGGATATTGATGACCCACCCAGAACGTAAAACTGCCAGAAATGTTCCATGGTTTGAATCTCAACATTTCTAGCCTTGACTCAAGAAGATTTCCATAATCTTTGATAAGCATCTGACCTGCAGGATCCTGTGCTCACCCCATACTGAGCCTTCCAGTTCTGCAAGGTTCAGCCGCTGCCAACTGGAGAGACTGTTGTTGTTTTCTTTTTTAGCTCTCCAATAAAGAAGCTCTCATATAGCTCTGCATCAGTTCTCAGCATAATGTTCTTCTTGCTCCCATGTAACACAAGCAGGGCATCAAACTGTCACTGTTACGACTATTATCATCTTCCTTTACAGACAGTGAGATTAGAGGGCTCCACAGCATCTACTCGAGCCTGGGAGAAGAGGGACCCCTCACTCCGTCCAGGACAGTAGAGACTACTCCTTCTGATTTTAGGAACAGGCCTGGAATCTGTCTTCCTCCTTCCTGAAACCCTCTGGCACAGAGCAG